GATGAGCTTCCTTAATTTTGAAGTTTCATAATCTAAATAAATAGACCTAAACTACATTAACTATATAAGGGTTAATTAGTTTTAGAAAAATTTGAGAGTAAAAATTTAACACTTAAGTATACAGGATCACAAAGAAATAATTCAAAATTACTTGCATTTTTCAATATAAATGAGTTTCTTTGCACAATAAGATGTCCTGTGAGCTAGTTCTTCTGCAATGTTGCTATTAAACATCAATCATAAGATGTAGGTTCCTTCGACGTTGTTCAAATATCTTCGGAAAGAAAGCTTAAGCTTTGATATTATATTCACCCAATTTACTCATGAAAGCATACTTGCAGTCTGGCACTCCTCCTGCAAGTTAATGTAATTGCAGTTGATTTTCATTTTGAATAACCCTGTTAAGTAATTTATAATGTATAATAAATAATAGATTTTTATATTTTGTAAGAAAAACAAAAGTAAAAAAACATATACATATAAAAACAAGAAATGGGCATAAATTTGTTTGTGTTCATATTAAATATTGATTTTCATACAATTTTCACGTTCATTTTCTTTTACCTTTAATACTACAACATTTAAGTTTTTTACCGTTATTTTGGCTGATACCGATACGATATCATGAAATAAAGAATATTTCGTGTTTTAATGTTTTCGTTTTTTTTTTTTCTTTTTGTTTTATGACCCCTAAAAAATATGGTTCTTCATTTTATTCTTATATATAAAAATAGTTCATGTACATAAATTTCACCTTGGCCAATAAAAAACAAATTGAACTTTTTTTTTATAAAACTAAATAAAAATTTTGGAATTACCAGTTTACTTTTTGACTTGTTTGTGTAAGAATTGCAGAATTAATTTTAATAAAAAAAAAATCTAAGCAATTTTTTTTTTGTTTTTACAAATTTTTGTATTTCTGTTTTTATTTTTCTTTGCTGTTCTCATTTACCGTGGTGGTTGTTCTTAAAATAAAGTTTTTTCTTATGTGTAAATCATTTGCGAATAAATTTTTTTTTCTATTTCATTTTTTTTCACTAAATTGAATACAACGATACAAACAATATTATTTAATAATGTTCATTAATGATGGTACATACTATGACAAAAAAAAATATTGGTAAATTGAATATTGGTGAAAGAGACAATAATGCCTGTATACGTATATAATGGCGAAAATAACAGAAAATAATTAAAATATTTTAAATATAAAGTGAAGAAACTAAATTGAAATTCAAAATCGAAAAAATATTGAATGTAACTTTTGGTTTTTTTTTTTATTCTGAAGAATAAAATCAACCAAATTTATACTATGAAATTTTTTATGGTAACAAAAATCTATCCAAAAATTATTAATTGCAAAAAAAAATATTTATTATTTTTTTTTCATTTTTTATTTTGGGTGAAAATTTGTAAATATTTTTTAAAAAATAATTCACTTTAAAAATTACATTTATTATATTTTGTATTGAGTGTTGGAAAACTTGTTTTTTGTATATTATGAAAATACCCCATGAAATTCAAATATTTAATGCAATCAAACAAAAATAAACCAAAAATTCTTAATTATGTTCCGTAACACAAAACTATTATTATAACCGTGAAAATATTACATAAACCTTATCACATTTTATTTTTTCCATATTTCATAAAAATTTCAATCAGCTGAACATCAATAAAGTGGATTAAAATAAAAATGCTTAATCCCTTTACATTAAAATTTTTCCCTAAAGATTAATTAACCTTAAATTTAAAACCATAAATATATTTTGAAAATTACATAAGAATGGCAAAAAATCAGCAATAATTTATAATTTATAAAGTTATACAATTAAGTAATGGTAATATTACTTAATTGTATAACTTTATTGCGATCTTAATTGAATTTTTTTGCTTATTAATTATATTTCAAGTGTATTATAAATTCATCACTTCAATTGCAATCTAAATTAAATCATTCTCATATAATTTTCACTGATTTTTTCGGGTTTCATTAATTCAAGAGAAAACTACTTAATTTAGAAATATCTTAAGAATATTTTAGAAATAAAAGCTATTGTTCTACGTAAAAATGTAAGAGCTTAAATTTTGTTGCCACGAGTTTTAAATGAGTTTTACTTTCATCCCTATTCTCTTTAATAATGTATATTTCTTCCATAGGAGCTGAATAAGTTGAATAAGCTGAATAAGTTGAAATTTGATGTGAACATGAAGATTATTTGGATTTGATATTTTTCTTCCTAAATTGGAATGCCCTAAGAATATTCATTGGATTACTAACTAATAATTTAAAATTATGAAAGTTTATTAAATTTTATAGTTCCCCTTTTCCACTTTTCCAAAAAAAATAATGATAAAGAAGTATTATCATGCCAGTTACGTTAAATTCAAAAACTTCTTCACCATACAATGCCATCCACTCTGTTTCCTTTCTAAAAAGAATTAATAAAGTAAAATAAAATTAATTTTTTTTCAAACATTAAAAATCCTGATAAGTATAAAATCTAATAATTCTTATTCGAAATCCATTGATTTATCGTCATAGACTTTGCTCATACTTTAATTTTTCTATATTTTTAACCGAATTCTATAAAATCATTTGTTATAATAAAAAGAGAATTTTGTGCAAATCGAAGCAGAAAATATTTTTCAATAATTTTTACTATTACTCAATTTAAATTTTTTCTTCGTCTCATTATTTACAGCACACAAAATACAGAATATTCATGATTATATAGGAATGAGCACAACGTTAAATAATATTTTTTTCCTCGAAAATCATGTCTGGTAAAAAGAATATTCATATTTCTCTTACATCTGCATCAGATCTCCAATTATAATATTGAAATCAGTTTTTGTTTTTAGTTTTTGTCTATATAATTATTAATGATTGTAATTTTCATAATTTTTCAAGAGTATTTTAATTATAATAAATTATAATAATGCATATTTTAAGTGCAACAGACGCGCTATTATAAAAACTTCAATTATATTATTTACTTTAATTATATTCATAATGGAACTCGAATAGATTAATTAATTTTGAAGAAAAATAATATTATTTCATTATGAAAACGAGTAAGAGACATAAAATTATTCGTGATATTAATTTATTATTAATTAAAATTAAATAGTTAACTATAATGAAAACCTTGTTTGTGAATTTTAAATTATATGAATTTGAAACCGAATTTTTTGTTCAGCTTGTACATGGCAAACCAGCTTATACTTGAGAGTCTTCTGTTATAATATATTATATCAACTATGCTCAAGAATATGACCAAACATAAATTTAGTACAAAAGTAAATTTCTGATCTTGTATAAAATAATTCCGTTCCTTTCTAGTACTCCACATTAGCCTAAAATTAACATAAAATGGATTCATTTTGACAATTACTCGTCTTTTTGTAATATGTTAAAATAATACAAGGTAAACGTAAAATTTTAATATCTCCCATTAACTCGCATGCTACCTGGTCTTAAGACAATTATGGTTATGTTCCTTTATATAATTATTGCTAAAAATATAAAATTTTATACATTATAAATTTTACAGTTTAAGACAAACGACTCACCCCCAAAAACTTATACTTATGTAAAGCCTAGCAAAAATTTATTCAAACCACTGCCAAAAAACTTTTTGAATAAAATAAACATTGTACCCAAAATCGGCAATTGATTTATTAACCAAGTTCAATCACATTCTAGTGTTTGTTTTTTTTTTATTTTTTTGGAGTTCAACTTAATAATTTTATTTTAAAACAAAGTTTTTGTATTCTAAATAAAAACTGCTCTTATTTTCAATATTTCTTTTATTTCTAGACTTTTCTCCTCAGACTTGTCGTTTTCTTCTAAACCTAATTAATTGCCTGCCATCTACAGCGAAATATATGCAATATGATTGTAATTTAATTTTTCATGTCATTGTCTTTGAGGTTAAATTAAAACTAAACTGAGATTTTCAGGTCACTCTAAAGATGTCACTGAAGAATACCATAGACTTAGTACATTAGAAATAAAATACTAAGCAAACATTAACGTTAATAGGTTTGTGAATTGAATTAAACTTTGACAGTTTAATAAATTTAAACTACTCCTACATACTGAAAAAAATTGAATAAATATTAAAATAACATTAAATTCTAATTTAAATTGTTTGATTATTAAAATTAAAAAAAAAATTAAATGTTATAATTTAAAAATTTTTTTTTTTTAATTTTTGAATAACAATTATAAAAGCTTTCCGCCATTGAATTTATTTTGTTTTTTATAAATCGGAGGACAAAAAAAAATGAAAATTGCTTCGTATATACTTTTATATATTTCTACACTTGTATACTTGTATGCATATAATTTATATATATATATATATAGTTGTTCAAAATCTATTTTTAATACTCAAGTGTTTCACAGGAATGTTTTTTTCTTCTTGTTTGTTAAAAATTTTATTGCCGAACTCTTTATGTTTTTTTTTTTTAATATCTCTGAACTCTGCAAAATTTCTTTTTAAAAATTTTCAAAAAAGCAAACAAAATGTTTATATATTTTTCAACATTTTAACAAAAATTGTTTTTTAATATTAATTAAATTAAAATGGTTTAAAAGCAAGAAAAAAAAATTGTAGCAAAAATAAAAAAAAAAATTATTAAACAAAAACAAATGATAAAAAATGAATGCACTCTTTATAAGAAAAAAGAAAAAGAAAAATTAAAAAAAAAAATAAAAAAGCAAAAAAAATTTTTTGATATGCCAAATTTCAACTTTTTTTTCGAACATTTCATTTCCTTTTAACGAAAAGAAAAACCTTTAAATTTTTTGGTATTTTTAATTTTTTTTTTCTTATTTTTAAAAATTTTTTTTTTTGTTTTTGTGCTTTAAATTGTTTTTGTTTTTTTTTTTGCTTTTTGTTTGTTTTCGATTTTTGTTTTACTTTGGTTGTTGTTATGTCCTTTTGTCCTTCTTCATCATTACGAATATTATTCAATTGCATTCTGTTTAGGAATTGGCTACCAAGCTATCACGAAGTTTTGATATGAAGGAAGAAGGTGGAACATTGCTTGGAGAAAAAGGCGTTAGGAGACATCAGGTGAGTTGCCATGAAAAACCAAAAAAAAAAAAAATCCAAATTAAAACAAAAAAAAAACACAAAAATATGGGAATGAAAACCACAGCTGCTACAGCAACTAACTACAGCAACCGACAACAAATATGGCGTTTAAAAAAAATATATAAGAATATTTTAAAATCATCTGAGTTCTTTTACATAATAATTAATAAATAAAATAAATATTTACCTACCAATTTTCGAATTTAGTAAAATAAAATTATTTAAAAAATATTAAAATTTCGAACGCATCATAATTTTTGTAAAGGAAATATTTTTTTTTTTATTGTAAAAGCACAAAAATCAAGCAAAAAATATTTTGAGTCCTTTTTATCTTTTCATATATTGCAATTATGATAGTTTTTTTTTTCTCTTATTGAAACTTATCCAAGAGTGCATTAAAATCACAAAAAACAACCCTTTGGTTTTTTTTTATTATTTTTAAAATACAAAAATTTCCTTTGTTTCTTCTCCGTTTGTATGTACTCGTAACACTAATATTTCGATCTATAAGGCACTTTTATGCAGTGTTTTGCAGTAATTCGCACAGAACTGAAATATGAGATCAATTCGACTGTATTTGCTGTTGTAAATTGATCGTGTATATGAAAGTTTAACTAACCGGCACATTGTTAACCGAGAACACTAGAGGAACGCAATAATTAACCGTTCATTATTTGGGGCATTATTTGGGGCATTATACGTATATCAAACACACATGGAAATAGATGATGTCAAAAAAAAAACCCCGGCCGTAATTGCCGCAGCGATTATTTTTACGGCGGAAATTTTGCTTCATTCTAGGCAATTCCATTTAAATACGTGTACTCTATATGAATTTTGACATTTCGCCGCGGGAAACGCTCTTCTTCTGTTTTCAACTTAAAATAGTTCTTGTCAAATATATTTTTAACAGAACAAATATTGGATATTGTCTTTAATCGGATTGGAATAATTTAAATTTTTTAATTAAAATTAACTTTAATTAAGTATTTTCGTTTTTTGAGAACTGTCACGTAGTAGCTTTTTTTTTAAATAAGCTACACTCATTCCACCTTCAAAGTAACAAAATCATGCCCTCTAGTTTGTTATCAGTTAATATAGCTTAGAGCTATTCTACTACAATACAATTCTGATGTCAAGAATTTCAATATCAAAGACAAAAAAGCAAAAAATTTAATTAAGTGTATGTCATTCGATCAAAACATATTAAATTCTGAATTATTTCCATTAAGTGTCAAAAATAAAGGCAATTATTCATGAAAAATAATTTTTTTTATTAAATTATTTTTAAAGTATTTTGATTTGACGATAATTTAAGTAAAAACACAAAAAATTTCGAATCCTATCTTAATTCCGAAGCTGATAAAATTAATAAAGAACTTCATCATAAATTTTAAATGATCAAAATTTTGAAAATAAAATCAGTCATCTATAATCATAAAATTTTTTCTTCTTTTAATAACCTCATCACAAATCACTTTGACTACCAATGTTTATTTATAAAAATTTTTCATTATCTAAAAATTCGAGAGGAATTTCGTTCTCCGAAAACACTATAAAATGCGATTATTATCAGAAATGTTTTGACTACAAATGCTAATTTAATTTTCAACTTCGGACAATTGACTTATTCGGTAATTGATGATGGCAGTAATAGTTAACAATAACATTAATAATTTACTTAAAATTTCTACAACTATACAAATGTCAAAAATTTTTCATACAAGTAGAAACGGAACGCACTTGTTGTATTCGTAAAATGAGATCAGTTTAAAAACTGTTCACTAATGACACATCGGTTGGGCAAGGTATTAAAGAAATAAAATTAAAAATCACCAAAAAAAATATTCCATTCGTTGTTATTATTTTTTTTATTTGTTATTATTTTTTAAATTTTACAAGATTTTTATACCCTAGTGAAAAAGCTTCCTCATCAAAAATATTATTGTAAAAACAAAATAAAAAAAATTTCTGGTGTCAAGGACATTTTACTATTTTTCTTTTACCTTTCCTCCATTTTTTTTCTCTTTTTTTTCTTTTTGATGTTCTCAAGTAAACGACGGTTTTCCATTTTTTATTTTTTTTTTTTTTTTGTATATTTTCTCCCCGAAATCATCTCTGAACATCTTTTGACTCTTTGTATTACTTTGTATTGTCCTTTTCCTTTCTAGTTAACGTTATTTTAAACTACTTAAAATAATGTTATACAAAAAAGGGGTGCAAGAATAAAATCAAAAAAAAAAAAATTGGTTTTACCTTTTAATTTTTTTTTTGTTGATTTTTATATTTTCTTTTAGAATATTTAGTTTCTATACCCTTGTATTCAAATGCGGAACAAGCGAAACAACAACAAAAAAAATGATTTAATAATTTTTGATGGTGTCTAGAGACGTTAAGACGACCTTAAGAAGATTAAATTCAAATTTTCTGACATGTTATTAAAAAAAAATTTTTTTTTTTTTTTGGAAAAAGTTTTCTCAACTTGTTAATGTTATAAATTTTTTTTACAAAAAAAAAAATTTTGTGTACATATTTAGTTATGTATGTTTATTTGTATGAGTACGGGAAGCATCCTGGGACATCTGTTGGTTTTATTTTTAGTTTTTATTTTTATAGATAACAAAAAATATGATTTGACTTTTTCTTGTGATGAAGGTGTGTAACAATTCATAAATCATTCTTTAATAAACTATAGTTTATTCACACTATACTTTGCCCAATCATAAAATATGGAAATTTATTCTAATTTGAATTATTCTAAATTTGTTTTGAGAATATTAAAATGTAATAAAAAAACTTAAAGAGAATTTAATTTAAAAGAAAATTAAAGTTTAAGAAAATATTATTAAAATCAAAAATTTATTCTTGCATTGTTTAGGAATTGTTGAATACACCCAGTTGAACTTGCTAGTCTATTTCTTAATTCTAGTTTCTTATAAAAAAAGAAACCCTTAAAAATTATCATGACGTCTCCAAAATGCGTGATATATGCTCTTCGCAGTCATTTTTGTTCACTTCAGTTGCTATTTATTACACAATTGAGGGCACGAGTGAGTGAAAGTGTACAATTTTTACGAAAATGGCTTTATTAAAAACCCCGTTTTTCAAAAATCGACTCAATTTAAGGGATAACTTATCTTTAAACGATGTTATGTCACATTTTTGAATTATTTTGCTTTGAAACAAGGTGAATTTACTCAAAACTTCAAAAAGTGTAGTTGAAATCTTTATTAACTAATTTCTTCAATTATAATTCACTATTTATTAATAACAAAAGACTAAAAATTTAGTGTTACCTTTACATTGGAATTGTGCTTAGAAAATGGGATGTTTCAGTTGAATTCTGCAGCATAATTATAGCACTGAATTCTTGATTTATAAGCAAAATTAAATTATATTACAAGTAAAATTATAGAATACCAATTTCTAAGATGCATCAAATTGCTGCTTTCAAAGTATAATCAACGTTGAAATTTGGCGTTACAATATTCTACTGGATGCGTCTTAGAGAAGACAGATATATGTGTCAAATGAGCATATAATGTTATAATATTTTGGATGTCAATGATTTTATAAATTTTGATAATTATTGTAAAACGAACTATCAATATATAGACAATATATAATAATTTAAAATTACGAATTATTTACTTTGTTTAACATTTGAAGTAAATTAGAGTTAGAACATTAATAATATATTTGTAATAATGACATTTTCGTATTTTTTTTTTTATTAAATTTAACAATTTACAATTTTTTCTTTTTATTATAATTTAATTATTCTGTCACATAGCTACATATAAAAGAGATTCTAAGGGATTTGATAAACAATTTTAGCTTGTTTAAATAATGATAATTATAAAAAAAAAATGTAATAGTTAAATTTATTACCAAAAGTATTATTTAATAATTATATATAGATTAAAACTTGAAATTTTAAATCCATTTAAATACAAAACATATATAAAATTAAATAATAATTAATAACAATTTATCATTCTATTTTATGTATTCAAAATAAACACATATATACGTAGTATATATATATATATAGAATTAAATGAATATATATAGTTTAGTTATATAATGTTGTAAAATATTAGATATATATATAAATAAATTTCCATAACACATATTTACTTTACATGTACAATAGATATATTAAATGAAAAATAATTCAAGTATATTATTTTATTAGATTTTCATACATAAATATTGTATACCTACATATATATATATAGACAAAAATTATATATAAATGTGTAGTATTTTTAATAATATTCAATATATTAAATATAATTAAATTAGAAAATTTGATTAGCTTAAATTCCTTATATATATAGAATAATATAACACAAATTTTAATTTAAACTATTACATATATAGAATGTCATATGACATATATAATATTATAAAGAGAAATGAGGATAAATTTGAGTACACGTGTAGCAATTAAGTGTGTATATTTTCTGATTTTATTAATAACAGCATTCTGATATTATTAATAACAGCATATAATGTAGTTGACTTGAACTCATTGAAAATGGTCCGCTAACTTTAAAAACACCTTTAATGTTGAAACATTTACTCACATTCATTAGAAATATAGTATTTAGCTCGACTTTAAATTCCACTTTTTGTAAACCTAAAATAATAATTTGTTAAACATAATTTCAAAAAAAAAAATATAAGCAAAATGTCAAACTTAAAGTTCATATTACCCTTTTCACATTTCTGAAAGATTTTAAATTTTTTTAGAACAAATGTCCACTATTAATTAGAATGACACTGACTCGCTTAAACTTGTTCATTTTCAAATCCTGTTCATAGTCCTGTAAAATTTTGTATCGTATTATAAAATAAAATAATTTGATAATTAAATTTGATAGTAAAAATATAATATAAATGCTTAACATTTCGAAAATATTTTTAATGAAAAATTTCGACACTCGATTTTTTGAAATTTTTAAATCATTCTCCACAGGGTGATTTTCTGATCCATTCTTAATATTTAAATTTTTTTTTGATTCTAAATATTTTGTCACAATATCGCAATTTTTCCGTTTCGAAGATCGTAAATATTTCATATTTAAAATTAGTCAGCTAGTATAGTAAATAATATATCAACAATAATAAATCTTAAAAATATTGCATATGTTTAGGAGGTGTATATTTTACTCTTTCGTTTTATTTTTACGATACAACATTGATCAATATGTTTTATTGTACTGTACAACATTTTGTTTAATTTTTTAACGAAAAGTGTGAACGAATCTTATATTTTAGTTTAGAGTTTGGTTAATTTCTAATATATCTCGAATATGACTATTCGGAAGATATGTATGTAAATATTAGGGCTTATTTCGATAATCAAATCACTAAATAACTGATAGTAATAATTTGTTGTAAAAAGTTCGATATTATTATAATAAATACATACGAATTCATGCAAATAATTCGTATCTATAATAATGTTTTTGTAACTTTTATGATAAATATTAACATACTAGCACTTAGTGATTCGATACTCAGAATAAGTCCCATTGTAATATTTTAAATGTTCGTCCAATTTCAATAAATAAATATTTGAGAAATATATTTGTATGTACTTACTCACATAATATAAATTCAGTTTAATATTTAACAAATTAATTATACGTATAACTCATAGATCAGTCATCTATTATATTACATAATTATTGTGGATTAACTATTAATTCTAAAAATACATATAGTTCAGTTTTTCAACAATTTATTTATAAAACTTATTAATTAAAAATCCTTTAAAAAATAAACGTATTTTTTTTAAATTTGTGGCAATTCTTTCTGAATTTACAATTTAGATAGTGATATACGTACTACAAATAGGATTTTTTATATAATGTTAATTGTTATATACATATACATATAAACTTTAAATAAGGAGCAGAAAAATAAAACTCATCAAAATACGGAAATTAAGCAAACATTGATAAAATACCAATTTTATGGTTTATTAATTACCAATGGGTACCAATGGTATCGTTTATTGGTTATGAAGTTTTGGTTTTTTTTTATTCTTCATGTCGAATTACAAAAAACAAAACTTATAATCATATCGGGATTGTCGGAATTATTTTGTTCTATCATACAAAAAAATGGGATTTTTGCTCTTTATATTTTAATTGAAATGAAAACATACATATATTTAAATTGTAGGATATTTAATGGTGTTCAGAATATTTCCTTATCCCTGAGTTAGTAATTGTTATATAGTTTTCCATAAGAATTCATTCGAAAAATATATTATTACTATCAAGATGTGTGACATTGTGTTATCACCGCACAGATCTCTGAAATGTAATTCACATATTATTATGACTTCAATATTACTTTTTATCGGAATTTTATAGAATTCAATTTGACATTTGAAGAGTCACGAAGAAATTGATTGCATTACATTTAAATACTCTTGAAATAAATTTCACTTGTTCCTAGCCTCACTTTTTTCGATTTGCAAATTCAGCCTAATTTGCATTTGATCTTTATTATACGATATATACACCTTTTGTTTTACATATGCTACAAATTAATGTCAAATAATTTAATGATGAATTCAATTTGTAAAAAAAAGATCGTGCAATTTTGATTTTTGTCAAAAAAATGTCAAAATGAAAATTTAAAAGTTTTTTTTTTTTTAATTTTGCTTGCATAAACTTTTAGATAAGATGAAATGAAAATAAGATGTCAAATTTTTTGATTATAGTTTTTAAGTTGTTGGAGATTGTTTTTCTTGTTTTGAAATTTTTATTTTAATTTTTTTGTTTAGTTAATTTTTGATTTTTGAAAATTTACATAATAAATAATTTATATATGTATATATATATATATATATATATACATGTTCTAAAAATAAAATGTTGTTATTTTAAAATAAAAGTATTTTAATTTTATTTTTAATTTATTAAATTGGTGGAATTTATTTTTAATTTATTATAACTTTTTATTTAATTGATTGGATGTTGTAATTTTGAATAAAATTATGTTGTGGTAAAAATTTATGAATTTATGTTAAGATAATTCTGTAGATATCTATTGAAAAATTATGAGAAAAAGTTAAATAATTAAAATGAAAAAAAAATATTCACGATTAATTCTGATAATATTGTGCCATTCACAATATCATGACTGACAACATTAAATTGTCAGAGCTTGACAACACAGAGATCACCTATCGAAACTATAATAAAGATTAATTTCTGTGGTTTTAAGGAAAAACTACCTAAATCGAAACAAAATGTTCCAGCCAAATTATTTTAAATTTGTTTTTTAATGCAGTTACCCAAAATTTTAAAGCTGACTGGAACATCTTAACCAAATTTTGACAAAATTTTAATTGAATCATGAAGAGTACGAACTTGAAATAAAATAAAGAAATCTCAAATTCGATTTAGACAGTTATTGTTTGTAGCAAAGTAACAAATTAGGTAACCAGTGTTATGAATGAAAGTTATACATTACAATTTATGAAAAAACCTTTGTCAAACTTATAAAAAAAACTGCAAATGAAAATTAAGATTTTATAAAATTTTATTTGTATATATATAATTATATATACATTTATATATTATATACACATATTTAGACGAATTTATGCAGTTCCATTAAAAAATAATTAATATATAGGATTATTATTATACAATAATATAATAATACATTATTATTATTATTATATATATATAACATTATTTTTTTTTAATTTGAATATTTTATAAATATTTATTCTTTTTTTCTAATAACTTTAAGAAGAAGTAAAATTTATATAATTTTACCAAATCAGTTATTTGTCATAATTATATATTTATATTTAAAAACAAAACAAAAAAATTCCAGTCAATGCAGCGTTTATCTGGTGAACAGAATGGCTCAACGACTGATCAACCACATGAGCTAAACCCAAACGTCGTACCTGATCATAGAGGAAATTTACATATTACAGTTAAGAAAACTAAACCAATTTTAGGTATCGCTATTGAAGGTGGTGCTAATACAAAGCATCCCTTACCTAGGATCATTAATATTCATGTAAGTAATCACATTAATAATTTTTTTCTTTTATAATTAAATAGCATCAAAAAATTATTCCAATTAAATTATTTTATTTTTCTAAATTTTCCAAACAATTATTTTAAATTAGGTTGCTTGCATTTTTTGTAAATATTTTCTTATACGCGGGTTTTCTCTTCATTAAAAATATTTGATTAATTTAAATTTACTATCATAAAAATTACTCTATGACTTTTATTATTTCAAAAATTTACAAGGCTTACGAAGTTTTTCAATACTTTTTTCTTGGTTTCTCAGATCATAATATTCAAAACATTTAAAAAATATTTAAGCAAACATGCGGTGATAAATTAAACTAATCATAGATAATTGTATAAAAACTATAATGCATAATATTCTCACTAGAGCTCCAAATAAATGGTGTAATAGTCTATATAAATATGTCTAATTAAGACATAATATAATTCCTTTATGAAATTTAAATTTCCAAATGAATAAAATGGAAATTAATTCAATTAATTAATAAATTTTAATCAACTTCAGTACTTTAACAAAATTTCGTATTATTGCAAACATTTTTTTTTATTATTAATAAAAAATTACAAAAAATTTATTATTTTAGGAACATGGTGCTGCATATGATGCTGGTGGCTTAGAAGTCGGTCAATTAATATTGGAAGTAGATGGTCATAAAGTAGAAGGACTACATCATCAAGTAAAATACAATATTATAGTGATATTAAACTTTCTCTCTATAGTATTTCACATTAAATTATAAAAAAAAATTTCCATTTTTCTTTTTATATTTCTTTAAAAATTATATTCGGATATTTTCAATATGCATGAAATAAACCAATATTATACCCGCTCATAAATTTTCAATATTTTTATAATTTTAGGAAGTTGCACGTTTAATAGCTGAATGCTTTGCAAATCGTGACAAGGCTGATATTACATTTTTAGTTGTTGAAGCAAAAAAATCAAATTTAGAACCAAAACCAACTGCTCTTATATTTTTGGAGGCCTAACACTTACTTGCCCTGCCGGCTAGCGATCTTTCTAGTTCACCTGAACCTGGTATTGATCTAACAAAAAGTTATCGCTAAAACTATATATAAAAAACCTCACAAATTACATTAAAGAAAAAGAAAAAACAACAAAAAAACCAAAACAACTAACAAAGGCAAGAAAATTTTTAAAATCATTTCGTATAGAGTGTGATGAAATGTTCAACAACCAAAAAAAAAAAAAAATTAAAAAAAAAAAAAAAACAAAAAAAAATAAAAAAATACAAAAAAAAAATGCTGAACAATCTAGAGAGAACTACACAAATGTCATAAGAATATTATAATTGCAAAATTAATTATTATGGCACGCTATACGATCATCAAACCTTAAAAACAAAATTCCAGCGTACTTACAACAATATAAGCACTACAACAGCAACAACTGAAATCAAAAGGAACCTGCTAATCAATCACCAGCTGCTATAACAGATCAACCTTAATTTGCTCCTTTTTCTTAAGACCTTCTTAATAATTTTCCTATTACTTTTCTGATACAATTTTAATCCAAAAAATTTTTAATTTTAATCTCTTACATATAAAACTGTTAAAAAAATATTGTATAATAATTAAGATAGTTTTTCTTATATTCTTATTTGTTAAAATTTCAAAAAAAAAGAATGATTAATATTTTTAAAGTTATTATTTTTTATCTTTAAAAGTTGATAATTTTCGAAAGTAGAAAAATTTATGCAATTTTAAAAATTTAAATTTGTAAATCATAGAACTGTATTGAAAGGGTTTAGAAAATTTCTATTATGTAATGTCCAAAATTTTTCAACTTAAGCTCACATTAACTACACATAAACAAGTAACTTGTGTAAAAAATGTTGTTATTTTAAACCCAAATTAATTTTACATATTTTATAAACTTAAAGAACAAACCATAAAATTTATGTTTCCCAAATAAATATCAGGCTTAAACCTTCGAATATAATGATTCTATATCTTTTTTAATGTATGCTAAATAAAATGAATTTCTGAAATATTTTATTAAGATTCCTAATCCGCAATTAAAAAATTATTATAAAAGGTTTGTCCTACATTACATTAAAATTTCTAAAAGCTAACAATTTTTTTTAAAATATTCAATTTGAAAATTAATTTACATGAATTTGAGAAATTTTCTAAACATTTTTCTTATGTCCATATTTTCTGTTTTTTTCACTTCTGTTTATTTTTTAGTAATTATTAAACACAAAAAAGATTAAAGACCAAAAAAAAAAATGTAAAAAAAATTAAAAAAAAAAAGTATAAAAAATGACAGTATTATATTCCCAGTATTCCAAAATTAAAAAAAAAAACAAAAACACAAACAACAAGAAAAACTGCAACTATCAATGCCAAGAAAACAAAAATTTCATTTTGCATTATTGCATAATCAATTACTTATAAAGCACTGATTTCTTCTTGACGAACGCTCATCATTTGTTATCAAAATAATATAAAAAAAAGTCATAAATTTAACAAAGATTTATTGAAAAAATTATAGAAACAAATACAAAAACCAAAAACAATATCATAAAAAAATAAAATAATATAAAAAGTAATTTACAATAAAATATTAAGAATTCAAGTATAAAAATATTAAAAACAATAAAAATATATTGAAAATTTCTAAAAGAACAAGAAATTATTATACAAAAGAACATATCAAAAATTTGTTATTATTGTTATTTTATAAAATAAAACAACTTTTTGAAAAAAAAAAAAAGAAAAATAAAACATAAAACACAAAAAAAATCATAAAAATGCAATTCAAAAATCAATAACTGTAAATATACTTAGAAACACGCATACATACATATACATTTACATAAAGTAATTCAATTCGACAAATAAAGCATAAAAAGAACATTAATTTAATAAGAACCAAAAAAAAAAGGAAATTAAAATTCACAACCTTATAAAATACTTATCGTGAATAAAATAAAAACATTCTAAATAAACATGCAATCGAAAACAATATGAAAGCAAAAACATAATTAATTAAACAACAAAATCTCCAAATATTCAATTTCTAAACACATATAATTCAAAAATAAATTCTAAATATGAAAATACGAAAAATAATTATCGAAAAAAAGATACTCAATTGAAGAAATTAAGAAAAGAAAACCAAATAATAAAATGTTAAAAATTGAAATAAATGTAAATCACCACCAATTACATAATTTAACATTAAATTACTGACAAAAAAAAATACATACAAATCTATATTATGTAATTGCATAAAAATAATTTTAAATTCATAATATAATATAATTGTTGTGTACATTTATACCTGTTCCATTCAATAAGCCATACAATAAAATAATTACAACTAAACGAAGCAAAAACAACATAAATGTCATAAAGCAAGAAATAAAATTAATGTATCTTTGTATTTGTAAACGTCAATCAAAATATTACAATTGTCATTTTTTATCCAAGAAAATTTTTTTATTTCATATATTAAAATCTTTTTTTTTTTTTTTTTTTCTTTATTGTATTTTTTGAAACTATATAAATAATATTGTAATTCAGTATAATTATCTTATCTTAAAATATACATAATCAAATTTATTTCAAAAAACATTTAAATCTCGCTTAAAAAAAATTTAAAATTGAAGTATTTATATTTATTTTATGTTAGTTGTAAAAAAAAATTTACTAAAAATCTTTTGATTCTACTGAATGTCACTGTTTCTTTGAATCAGTAACACCTGGTAGTTGATGACAAAAACCAAAAATATTGATTTCTTAAATGATAAATTTGAGTAAATTATAATTAGGTGAATCGCGTTTAACATTTAGATTATAAAATTTCAAGTTTAGATTTTTCAAGCCCCAATTTTTTTATCAATTTTATATTGACGTATGGAAATACAAGGGTTGTAATTAAATCATAAAACTTGTCAAATTAATTACATAGCTGGAAAACATGCTGCACAATCCAAAATAAATATTCTTACATAATTTGTACATTAAATTATTATTTCCATTTTATTGGTCAATCAATTGACATTTACAATTATTATTGACGTATTTAATCTAACAATATAGTTTTTTAAATAAATATAAAAATTAAGGAATATTAATAGCATTTTCCTAGTTTTTGTTTTGATAATTTAAAGCTAAAATATAAAATATCATTTAATATAATCCAAAAATTAATTATTATTATGTTGATTTTATTGCGTATAACAATATTATTGTTGAAAAAAAAATTAATAAATATGAAAAAATTAAATTCACTGCCGACTAAAACTAGAATTGCTCTCTGTTTAAATATTGTATAAGAAAAAAAATTTAACCAAATTTGTATTTTAAATTTAATAATGACAAAAATTAAACCAAAAAAAAAAAAATATTGAAAATGTTGAAAAAAAAAAATTATTTACCAAATTACAAATAATAATAAAAATTTAATTGAAAATAAAGGAAAATTTTCAAATTGGTAGGCAATGATAGAAAATTTACTCAAGCTAATCTTGCTTTTTTTGATGGACAAATGGTGGACAAATCTATTTTAATTGTTTACCGTTTCCACAAATCTTTGAACGTGTTTTACAAATTTCGGATCATATGATGGCCTAACTCCAGTCCTGATTATCGTGTGACTTAAAAGATCTAGAGTATCGACTCCAAAAACACGTTTATTAAGTTTAATTATTAAAAATCGAACTCAGCTCATCGTTTCAAAACGGCTTTTACGTATTATTTATGCTCGGCTTTGCTGACAATTAAACCTTTTTTTTTGAATTTAAGAAAATAGATACTGTTTAAAACACTGTTATTAGTTTTACTGATACTCAAAAAGCCGATGCACATCAAATTTTCATTCGACTTTGGAGTCGAATTTTGAATTTTTAACTTATATTTTGCTAAATATATTAGAAAGAAATATCCAATTTGCAAAGTAAAATTTCTTTAATCTATTTTCCTCAGTCTGGAATATATTAGTGAAAAATCATAATTTATATAAGTAGGTTTATTGAAAAGCCTAGTATGAATTTAAAAATTAAAAGAATATTGACACTCAAAATAACCATTCCAAAATGTATTTATTAAAAACTTATTATTGAAATTATGTACATAGTATAGGAACAGGGAAATAAATTAATTCATTAATATTTGCAAGTCAGAAAAAAATGTATATAGATTTTTTGTATTATTTCTAAATTAAAAAAAATAATTTTTTTTTAATCTAAAACAGCAGAAACAATGAAATATTTATTAATAAATGCAATAGAAATAAAAATATAGAATATTAGTAATTGTTCACGCCAGGATTTATAAATTAAATTATTAGTAGATCTTGTATAGAAAATGTTCAAATAAAAAAAAAACCAAACTGTTCACAAAGGCTATCTAATCCCACCATCAATGTTAAACAATTATAGAAAAAAAAGAAACCGCTTCTGTAGTTATAAAATTAAATTTTTAATGTAAACGAATCAATGTAAGTTAAAAATGTAAACACGTAAGTTAAAGAATCTAAAATTTTGAAATTTTCTTTCAAAAAACATTTTCATTTTAATAATACATATTATAGAATAGATAGACTAAAAAATTAATATTTTCTCTTTTTAGAAGTATATATATATATGTATACTGCTGTAATTTAAAATATATGAAATATTACATAATAATATATTGACATATAAATATTTCATTGTGAATGAAGTTTTAAATTTATTTACTCCAAATTGGAAAAAGTACCACGTTTCCACTTATGTGATAGTGCATTTAGTACTTTGACAAAAATTAAAAAATGTCATTTTGATTGACAATCTAAATTAAAAATTGTCATACAACAAATTACCACACTACTTGCACATTATAATTACTAAAAATTATGATTTCTCTCACTTTAATGAGAGAAATTATAATTATTATGAAGTATACCTAACACGTAAACCTTAAATTATAATCCCTATTAATCTATTATCAGTAATCACTTTACATTGCACTCTTCGTAAACGATGGTAATCGACGGTAGATGCCACTCCTTTATGTTATTGAGTGAGTGAAACTCAATATATTTATGACTTTTATGATTTGTAATTTTAAAGAGTAGTTTACTCAATAAAATGTTATATAAAATAACAACAAAAAATCTATATATCTATACATGAAAAAGTACGATAATGACTTGTGTATGACACCAATTTGAAAAATAAAACAAACAATAAAATAATAATAATATTAATGTAAATGTTAAATATACAATATAAATTTACACTCAAAATATTATTGACAACTTGATATTAAAAAAAAAAAACATAATATAAAAAAAATAATTACAAGTTTTTTTACAAGAAAACAAAATATTAAGTAATTATAATGAATTTAAATAAAATAATTAAATGGTTTATTTAAAATAATATGATTTGCGCTTTCGTAATGCATTAAAAAATATTTAATATTTTCATATAATGTGTATATGTATTACTTAAAAAATAAATACAGTTATTTATATAACATCGTATAGCGTAATATATGTTATAAATGTGTATCACTCAAAAACTGAGTGAATCTATGATATCTTTATCCAACTAATCGAATGAGTCTCAAATTTTCAATTTGGAATTAATCAAATATTATAATTGATTACATCATAATTAGTTGTTCAAAAGTTGAGTTAGAAATTTTTTACTCATAATTTTTTCGAGCAGTTTATGCCACAGCTAAATAAATACATAAATACAGCATAAACATAACACATTGTCAGATGTTTCTTTAGTATCAAATTTCTACATGTAAATTCATTTTAAAT